TTAAAGGTAGACGGCTTCTCTACTTAATTGACACTAATGGAACATTTTTAAATGAAACATTATTTGATAATACAATAGGAATGGTAAAATCATGGAATAAGCATTAGTGTATTATTTATAGATTATATTAATAGATGACTATTTGTAAAATAGTATGAATAAAATATATATTTAGAAAAACAAGGAAGTTTAATTAAATTTATGAAATTGTATAATTATAAAGGCAAGAGAAGGATTCTTCATCATTTTAGTTATTATATATTATGAACAGTGTATTTATAATTGATGTTTTATTATTTTTAGATTTATCTGTATAAAATAAATAATTTAGCATTTTATACAAAATACAATTGTACATGTTATGTTTTTATATCATATGTTAATAACAAGGATATACACGATAGATATTTTCTTCATCTTCAATTAATTTGTGTGTAAGTTTCTTATGTTATTATGCTTGTTTGGTGATTGTATGAATAAAAAACATAAATATGCTGAATGTATTTACGTTTTGCATTAAATTAGTTTTTAATATCTTTGACGGTCATAATATTTATTTGAGTATTTACTCAAACGATCACTGTACCCATCATCTTGATACTTATCCTCGGTCTTGTAGTACACTTCAGGTGCTGAACCTACATGACCCTGCCAGTACTTTGTCCAACAAAGGTCTTCTGGATTGATGTCATGGGGATGCTTAGCATTTCTAAATACATGTACACAGTATATTAAGCTACCTATCAAAGTTAAAAATCCAAATATAAGGAAGACTATTCCCAAAATCCTGAAATCATAGTAATATAATAAATTAATAGATACATTTGTATTAGTAAATGTAAAACTCAATAGTTTTTGTTAGTGATATACCCACCAAACTATCAATGGTTGAAAGAATTGAATGACTATAACAAAACCTAATGCGATAAGAATTAATCCAAGATTGAGGAGTAGCATAAGACAACAAACACCCTTTGTATTTGGACAAAACGGATTAGGCGTTGACATAGTTTCTATAATAATACCATCCTTTCTGGAAGTGTGAGATTTTACTGATTTTGCAGAACCATAACTGCAATGACTAGGTGCACGATGACCCATTCTTAAACTTGGAGACAGACTGTGATGCGATACATGGCTGTTGATTGAACGACAACCACATTTATAACATATTTATGGGTAAATATTTTGTACGTTTGTATGTATACGACCTTATATCTGATGTTGTTCTATAAGCAGCACTCGTAACATATATATCTGAGCCATTGTCACATATACTACCATGTGAAGCACTTTTTCTTAGCGGATGCAAACCTTGCCTGGATGATCCAGATAATACTGAAACGCGACTGTTGTGTGCACTTCGTGATCGCCTTCCTTCATCTTTTTCATATTTCTCAGGACGGTCTTTTTTCATTGCTTTTACCTACAAATGTCAATATGTATATGTAACATATAAATTTCTCATGTACGCACTGTTATTATTTATGGATTAGTTATACCATTCAACTGTAGATAAATAAAATGTATTTGATAATTACCATTGTAGCATGATCAGCTGACACAATGTATTCAGATACTGTTCGATCTGATGGAGCACGATGGCTTTCATCGCCATCCGTTAAATAATCACGATTTGTAGTAGCATGGTATCCAACATATCTTGAAGTATGAGTCATTGTGTATGAATATATGAACTTGTTGTACTTATAAAAATGTCAAGGATGATGAACAACTTGAATTATGTATGTTAACGATATGTACTTTAACTAAAAGAGAAATTAAGCAAAAGTTATAAAATAAACTTACTGAAACTTCTTATTTGTAATCAGAAAACTTACATAATAAATATTGAGTGGTATAAAATAACATTTCTATTGACAAATGATCTTCATTTTATATCAAAATATTATTTATTGTGATTATATCTGTAAACAAATTAACAATCAATTATTCTAGAATTTTCAACCAGTAAAAAGATAGCAATTAATTTTCATATATAAAAAATGTATAGGATAAACAAGTGATTCGGATTTTTAAAGTGATGTGTGGGTAACAAGGTAGGAGTGGCAGCCTTTGCAAATGAATTGTAAAATACATAATTATCATAAAATCTTTCTGTCGTATTGTGTATGTTGCAATTTGCAATACGTTTGCGCCGGTAGAGAAAGCCTAATATAGTATCGTGATGTCATTTGACAAGGTCGCATGCATCTTCGATCAATGACAAAATTATCGAGAACGCAGTTGTCCCCTTTAATGTTAACAATTTACAGGTTCTACATCCTTATTTCAATTATTTTAGTTCCATCTATCTCTATCTTTAGTACAAATATCTTACATTTGGCAATTTTACTTTCGTTCACGATCAGAATTTCATTTACATATGTATTTAATTTAACATATAATTGGAAATGAAAAAGTCAAAATGAAATAAAACTATTATTTTATTTCACATTTGTATCGCAAATACTTTTCACGTTTTGACGTTACGTATGCATTTGTCATTTCGAATTCCAGAAGGATACGAAATTTCCAAATACATACATACTCAAAAGGATAAGATCGAACAATTTGCCTGCGCAAGCGCCATAAATCCTGTCAACACAGCATTGAACGCATATTGCCTTTCAATTCGCACCGAATTTCGTTTGTAGTTTTGACGTACAATTATAATAAAGTAGAAACCGTACAACTGCACAATCTTTGCGGGAAAACATAATATGAAATTTAACACGATTACAGCCTTCCGCGAATGGCACAAATATGTACTATAATTGTAATTAATCCTAAGATTGTCATACCTGAAATATCCATGTTGAGAGAAATCTGTCGAAAGTAAAGTTGATCTGCAAGCTATCGATCGAGATTTCGCGTAAGAGCTTCTCAAGTGGTTGCGTGTGGTTGTTTATGTATAAAACGTGTTTCTTTCACTAGAAAGCGCTGATCAATCGTACAATGATACTGGAACATATCGAGCATTTGATACTGCACGTATTAACTGTAACGGTATTCGGTATATTGTATACCTTTAATGAAACTCTGTACTTCTGTTACACGAAATCGAAGCGTGAAATCATTCTAAGCACAGCTCAGAAACTACTGATTTATTCACGATCGATCGATGGAGGTAGAGCACGACCGTACACGTTTCTGGGGCTTTCACGCTTTCTGCTGGAGTGAAGATTCTGAGCGAAAGGTGCATTTATTGTAGCTTGCTGGACGAAAACACTCCGTGACGTCTTTAAAAGGCAATGCAAGGAGTTGCGATGTTTCACTTCAATTAGAGTCTCATTGACACTATTCATTTTTCAATTTTATTTTTTAATATATAGTGGCACATAATTACATGGATGTTATTGTCATTGAAAGTAAATTGTTGAAAATTATGTTATAACACTACCACATGTATTTGATCTGTTTTAATCAGTTTTACGACTTATCTATGCGATAATGCCAACTGTATTAGAAATATTTTATAAGCAGTTTATATGTACTTAATAAATTGAATTGTATTAAGAAGAAAAAGAAAAAATATATATATTTATATATGTAGTATATTCCAAATTTTCATTGATAATACCAATAATATACAAATCAGATTATTTCTTTTTTGTACAAATATGCATAGATATTACATTTACTATTAGTTAATTAAATGTTTCGAAATATGTATGTATTTTAGTTAATATATAAGACATTGAAATTCACCGCTCTTAAATATTTTACATAAAATTATTATTATTTTGGAACGTTTTAATTTACTGTAAATAAGTTCTAAATACACACATATAATTCTGAGATTTTTAAATTGTAAGGAATAATTTTATATGAGGAAGTGCGCACGCGTCACGAATAAATCCTTTAGAGTTCCGCGGCAAAACTGAAACGTTTGCTTAATCGCGTATGTTATTTGAAATAAATTGTCAGTTAAACTTTTCATTGAATACATTTTTTTTATTAGATGAATATTGTGATTAATAATTTGTGCATGGAGGGTTTGAAATGTCTCAGCACGGGGCTGCTTTACAAGCGTATAATCAAGAACTTGTAAAATGTAAGAAATTATCATATAACCTATAAAATATGTGTAATTAATTATATAAACTATATACCTAGAGAGTATAAGATTTAGTTCATTTGATATTCATTATATATTGCAATATGATCGTAACATATTTACCAATTTTAAATAATAATTTATGTAATTGTTTTAATAAAAAAATTCGAGGTTATAAATACATCTATTTGCAATATCTTCTTCATCAATTTTGAATCCTGTTTAGGTTTAGAGGAAATGAAAACGAAACGTTCTGAGTTGCAAGCACAGATTGAGTCACAAGAGGAAGAGAAAAACAATTTACAAAGAGAAATTGAGAAGCTATCTCATAAATTAACACGATTGAATGACACCTTATCTAAAAGAATAGTTGTTAGAAATGAGTACGACAGAACCATTTCAGATACAGAAACAGCATATATAAAGGTATATTCTTTTTATAGATAATTTTCTTTAGGAATTTTATAGATATTTAAATAACATTATAAAAATAATATAAAATTTATTACTATTGCAGATTTTGGAAAGCTCACAACTTTTATTAAATATGCTCAAAAGGGAGTCTACAAATTTAGATCAAACATTAGTTAAGGCAAACATGGAAAAACAACAATACCGATCATGAGGGTGCAATAATAAATATGTGGTATTAAGAAATGTGTATAGAGTAA